TGGAGAAAGGAAAAGATGAAAGGCCCACACCTGCTGGGAGAAGGAACCAGGAACTATTTCTGTTTCTCACTCTACATAGATGAGCACATGCACACATGCACACACATACCACATGCACACTCACACACACACACATGACTTTTGTTCCTTAGATTCATATAAACGTTTCTCTTTCTCCTTTTCATGTGTGTGGAAGCAATTCCCAAGTGTGTGTTGGGAGATTTTGAGACAGGTGCTACATAGTAGCTTGTATCCAGTCCAACATGCCTATCTTCCCCCTTCATTTCATCTGCGCTAAAATCTGAAGAATTAGCACACAAATACAGGTCTACCACTTTTTCTTGTAATTCTATCTGTGCTCATAAAGAAATAACTTTCCCAAGGGTAAATACTCTCCATTTCAGCCTCTATATTTGTCAATTAAGAGAAAGCTTACTCAACCCTATAATGATTTTTAGAATTAAAATATTTAATTTTAGAATTAAAAATCCCTTGAACAGTTTGTAAAACTGTGCCATTTGTATTAAACTTTAAATTCATTTCATTTTATGTTGTAAAGCTAATGTAAAGAAAATAGAGAAATATGTCTTTCAAAGTGCTCACTTTTGTAAATTCACAGATTAGCATACTAAATGCAAAGAGGAAATATTTTTCTGAACTTGAGCTGATCTAATCAGTTCATGGGTATTTTTCAACAAATAGGTTGTTACAACCCCTAAAATATGAATGTTACCATATAGGAGTAGAAGTGTTACATTGATCAGATCTTAGTGGGATTTCCTTTTAGTTTGTATTTTGTAAGAAAGCAGCTGTTCCACCTTCAGTTCAGTTCAGTTCAGTCACTCAGTCATGTCTGATTCTTTGCATGAATCGCAGCACACCAGGCCTCCCTGTCCATCACCAACTCCCAGAGTTTACTCAAACTCATGTTCATCAAGTTGGTGATGCCCTCCAGCCATCTCATCCTCTGTCATCCCCTTCTCCTCCTGCCCCCAATCCCTCCCAGCATGAGGGTCTCTTCCAATGAGTCAACTCTTCGCATGAAGTGGTCAAAGTATTGGAGTTTCAGCTTCAGCATCAGTCCTTCCAATGAACACCCAGGACTGATCTCCTTTAGGATGGACTGGTTGGATCTCTTTGTAGTCCAAGGGACTCTCAAGAGTCTTCTCCAACACCACAGTTCAAAAGCATCAATT